GCGGAGACAAAGTGAAAATACGCAGTATGGAAATATGCGCTACCCCTGTCGTTCTCGGCCAGCTCTCTTCTAATGCCGCTCCTCGACGGAACGACCGCGACCCCTTAGTCCAAGAAGACCTTGAGTTCCGAGGTGCTTGCCCTTTATTGAGCTGTGCCACGCTGCAGTGTGTTCTTCTTACTAGCTTGAATTCGAATGCGCCTTCATGCTGCGTCAATTTCAGTTGAGATCAGCGTGGTCGTACGGTATTAACGCCTGCTTTGCCAGGTCGTTGGTCCGTTAGTGCTTGCTGTGACAGTTGTCGTCGTTTGACCCGAATAGGCGTTCCGACCGGCTTTGCTGTGTGGGCGAACAGCGTATTGTCATACTAGGCCCGTCGACCTATAGATAAGATAGCACAATTAGGACTTAAACAACAACGTTCCTCCACTTTCCTTTACTGCAACGACCTGCTTTACATTTCCAGCAGACTACTGCTCCAGCTGCTTGTGTACAGTCATGTACCTGCGAATTATAGCGTATACAACCAAAACAACAACAACAACAACTATACGTTGACGGCAAATTGACACAGACCTCTGAGCGACATTGTTCTATTATACATCATTTCAGTATCACTGCTGTCACACCATTTCAGCTTGTACTGGACGTAATGTTGTGTTCGAAGTCCTGCGAATGTTTCCAGCTAAGCTATCGTATCGACAGTGGAATCGTTTGAAATGCCTTTGAACTATTACGCTGGGATTCATTAGAAAAAAAAGTGACAATCATCGAAGACGTAACAAGCCGTCACTATTACACAGTCATCAAACGCTATTGTTGCAAGTGGACAGCGTATGAAGATACACGAACAGACGACGCGTTGCCGCTGGTGGCAATGGACTGTTTCTGTACGAGACTCGGTATTGCCGTCCGTTGTCGGCGATTTTTTGGTATCGTCACCTGCTTGTTGTCACTTGTTGAGTTAACGCCGAACCCATGGAAACCGTATATTGAAGGTGACATCGGCGTTTGATTTTACATAAACATTTTGAAAAGTAAACACACGCATGCAGTTACATTCACGAGTAGGCATCATTAAATACGTGCAAAGGGCTATTGGGTATTATGGAGACCACGTAGAGGAAATAGCCATCGATGCATAGTGAACCCTGTCATCGACTGCGACATCCATGCCTGTTTTCTTTCTATCTGGTCTCTTACTAGCTAAATCCAGTCTGGGGTCATAAAAACGTGTTGTGTTGCAGCACGATGAATAGACGCTCATATCGTTAGATCGCCGACCAACTGGTGTTAGCCCCCTTTTCGCCCACGTGACTCCAGGCCATATCTTGTTTAGGGCTTTGACAGAAAAGTTGGCAAAAGCCAAGAAGGGGGCACATTGCCTACGCTAGCAAACACACTTTACGGACACTCCTAAAACATGATGACTGAGCTAGACGTACGCGCTACGAGACATGTAAGAAGAGCGAATACTATTGAGTTCGTCTCGAGTCAACGGCTTAGAGACTTGGAGATGGCTCACTGTTATTGGTAATCAGTGGGGGCAATGCATGTACGTACCGCTGCTGAATTTGGATGACGAACGCATCGTATCGGTACAAGGATTTATTACCAATAAAGCGAAGGGTACATTGCAAACACAGGAAAATCGTTACACACTACACTATTGGCCACCGTGTTTCTATATAGGGATCATGTTTTGCCCTTTCTTAATGTTGCCTATTGCACATCCGATTTGATTTGAACGACGACACTGTTCTGACCTGACGCACTCTTCACAGAAGGGTAGATTAAGCTTCAGCAATAACAGAATGCCAACGTTATGATCGAGTCTAAACAATTGGTCTATCAATAAATACCTGGGTCTGCTTTGAATATAAAATAGTAGAATGGCTTTTGCCTGTGAAGCAATTAATTAAAGAGCCGGTTACCGGTCGAGTAATTCCGACAGACGAGAGGACATAGCTTTTGTAAAAATGCAAGCTGGCTTAGATAAACTTTTTTCAAACGGTAGCTAAGGAAAGAGAAAAATTAATTTTTACACGTAAGCCTTGCGACGTGACGTTTGCGCCGAAGTTACCCCGAAAGGGTCTGCTAAAGCAGGTGAAGGTTTGAGCGGCCTCTGCCAAAATCGCTACGATTAACAGGATCATGAATTATCGTTAGCGAAAATATTACCTGTTGATTCGTCACCTGCGAGCTGCTGCAGCGCTTGTCTCTTAACTGCATTATCTACAGATCTGCCTGTGGGAAATCTCCACATCTGTGCCGCACTAACTCCAGATGAACTGTTCTCAAAGGAGCAAAGCCAAAGAAACAAAAAATAAATACTACGCACACATTGTATGCTACCAGATTTCAAAAAAAAATTATTTGCTAACAGCTTACTCTGGGCAGATGACCTCGAAGTTACGAACGCGAGGGTAGATGCCCTTTTTTTTTTTTTTTTTTTATCATATTTAATGCTTAATTTACGATCGACTTACTGACCGTTCGCAAATCGTATAAAAACTGTAAATTATAAATGAGCAACTAACTCTCCTAGATAATACGATTACTTTCAGGATAAGCAATATATGGCTGACTCCGTATTTTATTGCCTGTGAGTTCAACTTGTCAACCCGAAAATTCCAAAGATAAACCTGGAAAATCCTCCCTTATTTACGTAACTATTCACTCAAAGTACATATAAGATGTGTCACTCATCTAGTACCATCATTTAGTAGCTTCAAGAAACCACCTCTGTCAAGATCTCGCAGAGAACAGAAGTAGAATGACCGCTGTAGGGCTCAATCTTCGGCATGTTCAAGCTACGTACACATGGTGTTCAATTCTAATCGCTTTAATAATCTCTCATGTCGCATTGTCTAAACAATGAACAACCTTTATCATAGGTTATTTATGTGCAGGCTACTCACTAGGCACTTTTCGTACCCTGTCGTTGTTATGAAGACCGTCTGTATCCGTCGGTCACTTATCGGCTTTCTACAGTCGAAGATGGAATTGTTTTTACTTTACGGGGACGATCATTTTACTAGACTACTGCATGCGGTCTCCATGAAAGGGGCGACTGCTGCCGCCGCCGTCACCTGTGAGTTGGCGGATGCAATCGATGTCGTTTTTACAGATTTCAATTCAATGCAAGTTAACCACCAGCTTGGCAAAGAAGAAGAAAAAAGCGGTGGACGGCCAACCTGCCTACCTCTTCGTTGTCCCCCCGCACTTCGAACTCTTTGCACTGCACCCCTTACTCTTAATCGTTGCACCAAACCAGTCAATTGTCCCGCTTATAATCGTATGCTGTTTTCTTTCACTGCTCTGCCCGAGCCAACCGCGACCTCTAGCTTCATCGTTCGCTCTAGCTAGTTCAAGTTTCAATTCTGCTAAGTCTTTCGGTGGAGCCACGGTTTGACCGAGCACAGGATCGAATCGTTGACTTTGGAGCAGTATAAAGGAACGCTAAATTTGAAGAGACAGCAGACCGATATCACTGCTTCTTTATCTTAGTCTGCAAATCATTAACGACTATCTCAGTTTACCAGTTCAATTTCGCACGTATATTTGAATGCCTTCGGTGGAACAAAATAGGACACGCCTTGTCGATGCTATTAGCCAGGAAACTGCTATAGTGTTATATTATATATGGGCTGACTCGCGAGCAGGAGAGCGTCCACTCAAGATCTGAAGGGAAAATTTGCCCTGCAGGCGAATAGGGCGAAACATTATTCACTGGAAGTTCTGAGACATAATATTATTAACTTTTACGAAAATGAACTGTAAAATGAAGATTCAGACAAAAACCCGTAGTCCTCATTTTGAAACAGGTGTTTTTGATTAGCACCAATTTAAACCTAGCGGCTGTGGTCTCTAGCTAATGAGTCTTCGGAACTAGTATAGAGAAAACAATGCCAGCATTTGGATCCACGCAGAATCACAATACCTCGATGGGCGAAAAATACTAGATGGCTAAAAACTATAGACACCCCAAACGATAGTCTTTGATTTTCAAGATTTTATTGTTAACTTCTTCTAAATAGTTTTAGACCGACTTGTGATGATGCTTCTATTATCAGACATGATTTTCATGTTTGATAGACTCTACCTAGCTCTCTATTGAATGATCATCGCAGCTGATAATGACCAACAACTCTAATAAGAGACTACATAAAAGCTCATAAATCCATAGAATCATCATAAACATTTAAAAAGAAAAATGAGTTGTAACACACTCTGTAGTAGGTCACCTATTCCCCAACAACAAACGATCCTGTAGGATTCTCATATTGTCAAAGCACGTATATATATATATATATAGCTGTTAAGTATATTATCTAGTTTGTACGCGCACGGATATCTTCCGTCATTGGAACAATTATATAAAAAGTTGTACACGTACTTACATTACAAATAAATATATAGTAACGTTAAATTCTGACCTGTGTTACAGTACATCTTCCAGATCAGTTATCGAAAAGAAAACTCTCGGATGTACGAACTAAAGGCCGAAACGGAACAGGAATGCAACAGCTGGCTACAGGCTATCGACGCTGCAAGGTACTTTGTCTTAATAAAAATAAGCAAAAAGATGAAAAGGCTGTCTTTATGACATTCTGAAAAATTTCGTTTCAATATCATAACAATTGAATATATAGAAATCCTTATCTGGATAGCTCTTTTACAAGCGCTGTTATAACCACATCGACCAAGTGTACGTACGTACACTGTCTGGGTAGAACTACCCGTTATTATTATTATTATTATTAACACTAACAATAGAAGATATAATAATTTGCCTATAAAACGTGAGATACAGTATAAACTGTCCAATGTACATATTTTTTTTTCACTGAAGCACACCCAGTAAGGACTTAGCATCGCTATATAACATTTGATTGTGTTTCTTGACGAATAGCAGACGTTTTTCGAAAAGAATACAGGATATCAACCGCTATGTAGATGTACTCTAGATAGAGACTTTATTTAAACACCAATATTCGATTTAAATCACATTAGGCTGATATGGTAGCTATTTACGTCACGATATTCACGAAACATTCTTAGGGACAAGTTCAAACTCCTGATGATGTCTTTGTCACGTTCATTGTTAACGGTTTTATTATATCTATTGCCTGTGATTTCGTTCGTCGCTGTTCCAGTTCCACCTAGATTGACTAACTGAATGCCAGCGGTATATTCTAAACCATGCTTGTGTCAACAAGATACAACGGCATTTGACTCACATGAAGCTATGTTTGATTTTACAAGAAAAACGACGAAATTCTTTCCAGATATATATAAATATTCATGACCTAACTTTCTTTCCTAGGCTCTTATATTTCCAATTTTATTCTTATTATTAATTACTATTATGGAACACGAAATGTACTACTACTATGCTATAAATAATTGGCAGCCGGAGGTACATCTCCTGCTGAGGCAAAGGTGTCGAGTCCTGTTTGTCAAAAGAGCTGCTACGTTTACCTTGCGATGCACTTATGGCATCAGGCGCGTAGGTGCGACGAATGTCGCGACGATTACGGGTGAAAATTATGGCATCTGTCAAATGAAAGTGCGGAGTCATCGTTCCAGTAAGAGTTGCCTCCTTACACGCCATCTCCTACCTGAAAATAGCGACAGCGACAGGTCGACCGATCGGCCGGCCGTTTGATCGGGGAAAGCCTTGAAAACCAACTGTCCTGCGCACTTCTCGGGCTCGGATTGTACCCTGGACTCCGGGGAGCAGGCACCACTCCTACGTTGCCTGCTTTTCGGCTTGCTAGGATCATATCGTACCGTAACCTGAGGAGCGGCAACCGCGAGGACGATCGGCCGCTATGGTACCTCTGAGGGCTTCATAGCATTGAGTGGTTTCAGGTTTAGCTTCGTCTATTCACTGGAACAAAGTCCAGAATCGACTATTGATCCAACCCGTAACCACAGCTATTACAGAACTATAAGGATAAACGACAAAAGACTGAGACAAACTTGCGCATACAGATAGGCACGCATGTGAAGACGGGGTTTAGATTCGTATAATTTCCTTTTTTCGTTGTCATTATCTTTTTCCATCTGCCTTTTCAGCTTCAGCAAAATGGTTCTGCAAAAAGAAGAACTCGAGCAAAAACATCTTCATCTGGTACAAATCGTCGAAAGTGAAAAGACAGCAAAATGGCAATATACACAACAATGCGAAGAACTAACCGTCGAGATCAAAAAGCTTCGCACCGAGGTAATTTTGTAGGTAGATAGAATAACATCCAGATAGATTCGTACACCCATTCAGAGACTAAGTATACGATACAGAAGATTATTGACAAAATCATCCACAAACTCAATAATCAGATAGAAAAAGTCAATGCGTAGATATTGTCGCATTATTTCCAAGCCCGAGTGTTTATTCGATCTTCGAAAGTTTTTGATTTCAGCAAATGTGAGCACAAATCAAGTTCGACATTGTCCCATCGATCTTCCTCCAGCGAAGCTAGTACACCCACAGGATCATGTTTATCACAAACATGATTACACTTTGGTGATTGGTTTTTACCACGGTTCAGTAGATCCATGGCGAAGTTTCGCTGCATAGAACTCTCACTTCGGTTTGCAGAATCCTAGAATAAACTAAACTTCGTTGCGGTCGTCGCTCGACTAGCAGCTTAAACAAGCGATTCTTCTTGCATTGCTCCACCTCTTAGTATATACCACAGAAAATCCACTTGCGAGGCGGGACGGCAAACATATTGTCTATGTACTCCACCTATATCGATCTAATTACATATGGTTAGGAAGACATCTAAGAATTGTCTGCACCACCCCTTAACCAGGTGTGATAGAAAATCGTTCGTGGGACAAATATATAGATTATAGCACAAAGCAGATCGCACAACGAAGCTTTCATTGAAAAACCCGGCCCAGTTACAACCCATTACGTGTAAAATCATTATCTTAATTTGCTTTGTCGTTGGCAACGGTTGCAAACAGAGACCATTGTTGTCTACAACATTCTGTAATCATGAATTTCTTCATGAAAATCTCGAAGCAACATGCCACATTCAGAAGCCTATTAAAAGACGTCGTAATACATCACTTCGTATTTGTGATAGCGGTTGTTTGCCTGTCAATTCGGGCCTAGACCTGTTTTACCTTTTTTGTTAGATTCAAATAAACACGGGGCCTTCTCAACATTTATGATTATAGGTCGACATGCACATCTGTTCCAGTTTCACAGATATGATTAACAGGCAGATAAATACACGCTTAGCTACAAAAGTCGGCGCTGGCCATTTGAATTCGACCGTCCAACATCAGTTTCAGTGTCTTAACCTTTAAAAGTTCTCCATCTGACGCTGCAGATGGCCTTGGTCAAGAACGTTTTTCTTTGTTTTTAGACGTACGTGTACTAAGAAGCATTCGAATTGACCCAGATGTTCAGTGAGATAGAAGGCAATCTGAATTTTCTTCATATTTCCGTTAACGATTTGCTGGCCGCTTTTCCAACTTAGCTCTTTTTGTCTGCCGCTAAAGGGAATGCCAGGACCTACGTGCTGGAAGTTATCGAACCTTGCCTCCCTTCGTTCTTCCATTGCCACGCTAACCCCTGTTTAGATGACTTCTAGCTTTATAGAAAGAGCTTAAGAACATTTCATTGCTTTCGTGCCGCAAAGAAATTGGTTTCTAGTAATTTTCTTGGCGATGATCCACAGCCCTATCTGGTCTACTCCTTGTTTTTTTGCGCCACTCCTCTGTGGGGTAGTGCCCCTCACATCCATTTAGTAGCATTTGGTATTGTCGCACAGTTTTGTGAGCACTCCCTCCGCTTAGTCATTCAATTTGTTCGGTATTTTGGCTGTGTTACTTATGGGCCCTTAAGCCCACCATATTTGCACTTCAGCCTAAGCGCAAGATTCGTTTCAACCTACCCGCGTAAGTTACTTGTAAATCTGTAAAGAAAGGCAATTTTCAATTCCCCGTTTAGACTAACCCTTAGAGCTGACGACGGACGCACTAGCGTAGTTGATGACTGGCTAGACCTCTTACTATCTAGTCGTTAAGCGTCACGAGCTCTATTATGAGGCTGCCAAATGATGATCACCCCATTCATTGACTCACACCCGATATAAAAAAAAACCGATCGTCAAACGAAGATCTTCATAGAAGAAAAATCGTGGTGGAGTTTGTTTGTGGTGGAGGTTGTCAGGCGCTACCACAAGGAACTCCGGGGTGGTCTGCGCACTTTAACCGGATATGCGTCACGTATGTGCTCAATGTGGTGTTCCTGGGATTTGTGCTTGATATGGCTACAAACTAAACTGAATTAAATTTGTAATGGAACAAAAATTATTACGCGATTTTCAGTGCTTCGTCAAGTGCTAAATGAGCTTATGGTATATCGCTAGACATGGTAATGATAAATTTTTGTCAAGCATTTTATGATTACACACGTCATCGTACGTGTCTTACTATATCAACTTCCTAAGCGCCTTATATTAGTGTGTGCCAATAAAATTCGTAATATGATTATGTGCTTTTTAAGATAAGCGATTATCTTGCCGGAAATGTATCGACTTGATCAATATTTAATTTCATAATGTTTTATATCTCTACATATGTATGACCATTTGGATCTTTTTTTCACGCAGTGCCTATAATAAGCTCAAACGTGTCAGTGGAATTGACTCGACATAGCCAGTAACCCCACCGCGTAGTCGAATGCCATGTTTGTTTTTGGCCGCATTCAGCGCCTTCGCGGCCCTTTGTGTCCTCTGCGGTCGAAACCCCTCCATTTTTACCATATTTCCCTTCAGCCCAACGGACATTACTGCAATCAGTCCGCAGCAATGGCGCAGGCAGCTTGCCAGAGTAGTACAATATCCTCCGTTCTACCGTTGAGAGAGGGAGAAAAGCTGCTCCCGTTTTCCCTGGCCTTCTGTGTTCCCAGATTTCCGCTGGTGCCTTGAATGCGGAGCGCGCCCTAAGCAGCCTGTAAACATGCTATATCCAGAAGCGGACGAAAGAGATAGGAAAGCAGTGGAGTAAAATGGAGGAAGGTAAGGAGATGATACGTCGAACGTCGTTGCAGAGGAGTAAGCATGAGGAACGCGCGTCTTGGTCCAGCTTCTTTGAAAAAATTAGACAGAAAACAGACGAATGAGCGAAGAGGAACGGCAGGCAGGAATGAGAAAAGATTTTTCTTCCTATCGCGCTTAGTAAAAGCAAGCAAGAATAGCAATAGCAGGGGGGGGGGGGGGGACTTTTGCAACAAGGTCTGGTTGCCTCCCATCTTCGAACTCTTGACATGGGTGTTCTGTTCAGGGACGGTATTAGTTACTGTATCCTTCCTAGCTGTCTTTTTTCGTCCACTTGTTCTTTTCTGTAGAAGTTAGGAAAAGAGAACACCGTCTTCAAGCAACGCTGAGGGAAAAAGACAGCGCAAAATAAAGCGTAGTACTGCCTTTCGCGACTAGGCACAGCAGCCACATTTTTGGCCTCTTCGGTTCTTCCAGAACAGATAGATGATCCTGCAAATGTCGCAGCTTAGTGCAAAATTATTGATACCGATGAAGGGTAACCTTTGTGTTCGTCGTCTCCTCATGATATGAGAAGCAGAGATACTTGCCATTTCTACATGGCTGTAAGGCACACGGTCATGTGGAGACAATTTAAGCAAAAGTCGTGTGAGCAACATTTATCGCGAGCTGTACGCCTCCTGCGAAACTAATTCCCAGGAGGAACGTTCTACTTCTAGGGAACGAAAAGGCGACTTATTGGGGGATGACCAGCACATGGAGCAGGCTTCCTAGTTGCTTGATTCCCCTGTGCTGCTACTGCAAATTAAAGCAATATATAGCTTCAACAAGCAACCATTACCACCATTACCGAATACATCTACAATTATGGCTAGATATTGTGCTTTGCCTATACGTATATTCAGTGCTTTGGAGATATAAGGCAGCAGAGATATACGAGCATATCGGTTACAGGGAGCTATGGAAAAAGTAAGAACGAAAGTTAGTATACGGATGTAGCAACTCAGCCGGCAATTTACGATCTTCAGCCAGACGCGGTCCATAGCTTGCAATCGCAGGTAACCGCGGCTCGCCCGCCTCATCGCCTTACCCATACTGCCATAAGTCTTACGAAATTGTTTACTGAAGAGGTGCCGGGTAAGAACGATGTTGTGATGGAGCACTAGTACTCATCTGTACCCAGCCGCTAGTCACATTGAGATCGGAGCGGAACGCTCGGGAAGGTTGTTTTCCAACGTGACGTGAAAAACAGCTCTGCTTGAACACCGATGCTGTGGATTTTCAGTGGAAAGGGCGACTGCCATTAAGTGAACCACTGCGGCAGTTGGGTAGCTACCAGCTTACAAGTCCGAAAGTACATCCAGTCCTAGTTTCCGAAAAACGCTGTAGCAGCAGACATCGTACGTCCAATGACTACTGGGCAGGGCTGGGTATGTCCAGGGGGAACGCCATCCGAAACACGACTACGTACGCTGAGACCTGCTAGGAAAACACTAAGGAAAATGGAATAAGAGGGTAGCAGGAAGAAAGGGGCGGCCTTAAAGTCAAATTAGCCGTCCTCATTCTGCCGCAGCTGTTAGCCATGTTGGCTAGAATATCCCGGAGGAATTCATGCACGATGCAGCTTCCTGGACGCGTCATGCTGCTTACTGCTGCTTCTGCTTCTGCTGCCGCTACAGCGTGCAACTAACGCAAGAGTCTTGCTCCTATTCTTCGTCTTACAAATTAATAGCTGTGACCAAATGGTGACAGTAGGAGCAGTCCACCGGCCCCTACAAGGTCAGCGATGCGGTATCTTTCTAACTTCTTCGGATTCTGAGACTCATTACAGACCTTTCGAATCCAGTCTGCTCTGGCAGTCTTGTTCCCACTTCTACGTACGATATCTGCTTAACCGATGTAGGAGTCGCTCTAGGCTTCTCTCAATGTAAGCCGTGCAATTTTTCTATTTTCCTGTTACCTCTTAGACGATCGAAAAATAGGATAATACACGATATATATACAGTTCTAGGTAGACGAGTAAACACTTAAACAACATAAAAAGCCACTGAAGAAGTGAAAATGCTAAAAGAAGAGCTGTCATTAATTGACTCGGATAGCTTGTTGGGAAACGTTCTACAATTTTTATTATTCAGATAAAAGTTACAAAATTGCCCGTGACATGCTATATTCTAACGTACAACGTTTTTTTTGTTCTAAAATTTTC